CCCTAAACCCTAAACCCAAATGCTCTCGCCCAGCGATATCCCGGGAGTGTTCGGGTTTTCTTGGGACTCGAGTTCCCCATAATGTGCTATTGGGAGGCCAGGAAGTTCCTCGACCGATCCTTCACGGACATCTACAAGCAACCAAACCCTACATAGGTTTAGCCCTCAGCGCTGCCAGCCCCTGAACCAGCACCCAACTTGAAAACAAAAACAAGTAATCAAGAGGGCTGGCGATCCTAGGGTTTAGGGTTTAGTAGACTGGAAAAATGAAGCAAGACAGCCCCTGCTAAAAACGCTATCCGAAGGCTCAAGGCCCTTACATTACCCTAAACCCTAAAATACGGTCATGCAGGATTTTGTCCATCAACAGTACGAAGCATAAACCTGTCATAAATACATACTGAGCATGAGCACCTCACCTCAATCAACCCTGGAAGCCCGACCTGATATGCTCCATCAGCACGATGTTATCCGCTGGCCCATCTTGTTTTGGAGCCGAGGATGATTCAGAAGATGACGGCTTGCATCAAAACGTTTGATGATTGCCACGAAATGATCGATGAGACCTACTGCGAGGGTCGGGTGGAAGGATTCACGGCGGAAATGTTGCTAGGCAAATTTAGATTGCTGCACCGAGAGCAAGTTAAACTCATATTTGCAGCATGTCACTCCGGCTTCTGGTGCTGAGGCTTTTGGGGCTCTTAGATTATGTATGATTCTATATGTGACAAGCATGTATATATGCACGTGTGGGCACACACATACTAGCATGCAGACACATGTACGCAAACAGAGACACACGTGTTCTGAGGCAGCAGACCCTGAAGCAGCAGTACAAGAAGGCCAAGCGTGCGCAACGTGGTTGCATCAGGTATTTTGCCGTGTGCTGATTCGACTTAAGCATATTACTGCACATACTGTCCGGTCCTAGCCCAGCTTCACTGTACGTACTCCTACATCCGAGGGCCCTGGAAAGTGTGAGTCTTGAGCAGCGGGCAAAAGCAGCGGCACCGAAGCGCAAAGCGCAGACGGATGCAAAAGCGAAGGCTGTGCCGAAGCAGTCGGCCCTGCCGAAGGCCGAACCCAAAGCTGCTCCCAAGCGCCGTGTAGCCGGGAAGCAGCAAGCTTAGAGAAGAATCGCCAAGTGTGCGATCGTGTGCGAAGCAGCAAGTTTTGAGAAGAATCGCCAAGTGTGCGACGGGAAAGCAGGCAGCTTAGGAGGGACCGTGGGCGGTCTTTCATGCTGTGCAGTGTGAACCTGTCCGATGCTGTGGTGATGGAAATGTGAAAAAGGATGTGCATGCATGCATGCATGCATTCGATTAGCATGGCGGCAAGGAGGAACGACACAAATCTACGTAGGCATTTGTGTGCCCTTGCGCAGGACCGACACCGGGGCCAACTGCTCGCAAGCTCGTGCAAGCTCTGGCGATGGGAGCCGCTTGTCATTTTTTTTGTGTGCAGTTTTCCGAGAAGTACCCTTTATGTGCAAACCTCCAAAAGATAAGGATCCTGCAGCCAGTGTGGTGCGTTTTGCCAAAGCTCTAGAAGAAGAGCAGCCGCTGCTCTTGCGAGGGATCCGGCAGCTGTCTATTCCCTCCCTGCCACATGCTGAGTCTGGACTGCACCGAACCATCAGAGAGTGGGGTATGGCCCTTCCCATAGATGTATACCTTTTCAACAAGGGTATTCTTTTTGCTCCAATGTGCCTGCCCTCCAAAGTCCTGGAGTTCTACCTTTGCAGAAAGCCTTCGATTTTATTCGGGGGCTTTGGCCGAAACCATTTTGCTTTGGATGGCTTCCTACAAAGCTTCTGGGAATGCTACAGGTACGAGGATGGGGATCATCAGGTCTTCCAAGTTCATGGTCATCGGCTCAACCGATGCTTCCCCTTTTTTATCTATGCCGACGAAGGGCGTGGATTGCGGAAGGCCCCTATACAGGTCGTGGCCCTTGAGACACTGTGGGGTATAAAGACGTTTGCTGCTTGTGAGAAACTTGCGAAAACTCGTGGCTGGAACAACCAAACTTTCTTGGAGGCATCAGACCACACTGGACGTGGGTCGTCTCTAACTTCTCGGCTTTTGCTATATGTTCTGCCTCATGGAGCCTACAAGAAGAAGCAAAAACATTTCTGGTACGATACATTCGGTGCTCCTGTGAAAGATTTGGCGAGCCTGTTCACCTCAGGAATCACAGATCAGAATGGGGAGACCTGGTTCCCCATTTTGATAGGTGTTAAGGGAGACGCTCCTGCCCTCAACAAGATCGGCAACTTCAGCAGGAGCTTCCAGCGAATCCTTGGAAACAAAGGAATTTGCCACTTGTGTTTGGCTGGCAAAGATGGCCACATGTGGGAAGATATGGGGAACTCGGCAAGCTGGCATGAAACGGTTTGCCATGAACGGCCCTGGACGGATCGAAAACCATCGTGCGTACTTCCCATACCTTTTAGCTTGCAGGCGCCGGAAAAGGTATTCAGATCGGACTGCATGCATTTGGTGAAGCTGGGCATAGCCCGGCATCTCATCGCTTCATGTGTGGTGGCATTGGGCGATTGGGACATTTTTACTGGCAGTGGTGCAAGCATAGCTGCGCTGTTGGAGCTCTCGCACAACGATTTTGTGTGGTGCTGCAAACATGAGATCAGGCAAACGCCGCATCTGAAGTTATTCTCCAAAGAAGGTTTCCATTGGCCTCGCCGGACAAGCTACCCTTTTGGTGGAACCTTGCAATGTTTGTGATTGTTATTGTGATTGAAATTCTTTTCGTTTTCTTATACACACATCATTCACGCAATCCATTGTTGCTAACTGTGCTTTCTGGTTGAGTCAAGGCTGGAAAGCTGCGGATTCTCTGATGCTGGCACGATGGCTGCTGCGAGTGCTGCGACAAGGCCCTGTGAAGCCGGACCAGACTGGGCGTTCAGGGGTCACGTTTTTACGTGACCCAGACAAGGGGCATATCTTCAGAGCAATGGAAGACGCATGCTGCAGCCTTCTACGTTTCTTTCAGATTATCCACAAGAGTGGGCTCTGGTTGGACAGAAACCTGGCGCAATCAGCTGCTGATGCTGTCCAGCTATTCTGTCAGAGCTACACTTTCCTGGCGCGAGAGTTTCACAAGCTCGGCAAGTTTTTATTCCACTTGGAAGAACCTGCCCTGCATATGTACCGACATGTGGGGCTTCGAATTACTACGATCCTTCGAACTGGGGCACCCGCAGTACTTTCCCCAGCAGCGCATTTAACTGATCAATCGGAAGACTTTGTCGGAGTTTGCTCAAGAATTTCCAGGCGTGTGGCCGCACGAACGTGCGGCCAACGCACTGTTCAGCGAATGCTAATCCGCTATCATTTGGAGTTCGAGAAGCTGGGCGTGTAGTCGGTGCATACCTACCTACCTACCTACCTACCTACCTACCTACCTACATACATACATACATACATACACACATACATACATACATACATACATACATACGTACACACATACATGTCTTCTGTAAATAGCTCCGAGCATCTGGTAGGGCAGCAGCAGTGCTAGCAGCCGGCTGCCATCATCAGGAGGCTTCACGAAGCACATCTGCATAGTCATTATGTAAATATCTATTTATAGATAGAGTTTTGTGCATATGTGTTGTACCATGTGCAAGCCCTCGCAAGTCAAAGCCCTGAAGTCTGTGCCTGAATGATGGTGTGCATCGACCGGGACCGAGCTGAGCAGAGCGAGCCGCTGCAAACACGGCTGGGGGAGAGATGGGCCCTTGGGCTTCTAGGGAGTCTCCGGGTTCCACTTCGGATTCGATGAAGATCGGGTTGCACAGGATTTCGGATTCAAGGTTAGGGGTTTAGTTTTTGCATGGGTTAAGGATTCAAGCTTAGTCTCAAACATTTGCACCCCAGCAGCCCGAATCGTATTCTCGAGGGAAACAGAGGTCCGAATTGCACTTAATGTCCAAACTTTGACAGTGCAGGCCTGAATCTGCAAAGTCATGTCTTTGGGTCATCAAAAAAGGGTACTAGTCTAAATCGTGGTGCGGGAATCGGTACACCCAAATAAATGGGGTCACAAAGAGGTCCAGGTAAGCCCTGAACCCTAAACCCTATAAACCCTAAGCTCTAAACCATAAGCCCTAAAACGGATCCGGGCTGCGGCTGCGGGGTTAGAGGCTCAGGAGCTGAATCCACCTTACTTGGAGGCTCATGGGTAGTTACTAAGGCTCCTCTAAGCGGATCCTTTAAGGGCTGCTTTAAGGGCTGTCTACTTGGAGGTTCATGGGTAGTTATAAGTGGGGTTATAAGTAGGGTTGCTATAATCATAACCCATATTAGGGGACTTATAACCCTACTTATATCTNNCTACCCATGAACCTCCAAGTAACCTCGCCGTCTGAAATCGAAACTTCCTTGTCCTAGGCCCTAAACCGCGGGGTCCACTAGCCGGGAAATCGGAATAACTAATTACATAACGGGTTTCAAATTATAGCGGACCCCGGCATAACCCTTACTATAGGGAACTCCTGAAACCGGTCTAAACCCTAAACCCTAAACCNNGGGTTTAGGGTTTAGGGGCTGGTCCTGGCGAAACATGCCCAGAGGATTTGACAAGAGCACACGTTCGGCAAGTCAGCCGCAACGAACAACAGGCAATTGCTTTCGCATTCGCTGTTATTGGGATCCCAGTGTGCCGCGCTTCCGCCGGACATGCCTGGGAATCAGGCTAAACCCAAAACCCCAAAACCCCAAACCCTAAACCCTGATTGTAGGAAACCCTTAGGCTGTGCAGCGGAGCTCAAAGAGGAAGCGCATCTTGGGTTGGTTGGGCCAGCTGCTGCACCATTCTGCCACCTCCAGAGTACATGGGGTTCATGAGGTACATGGTAGTGAAGACTCGAATGTCGACTCTTCCCGCAAGCGTATGCGGCTGGCTGATAGCTGAGATTTCTAGGACGCCTCTATATTGAATTAGGGAAGGGCTTGACTTGACGATCGACCTCTCTACAGGACGGTGGGCTCGAGCATCTCCTGCGCCAAAGGAGTAAAGGACTTCCGAGCCGATTCACTGAGAAGTATAGGTACTCTGTAGACGGTTTAGGGTGTAAGGAGTATATATGGGGTTTGTAAGGTTTTAAGCACAATGTTGCTTGCAGTTCTCGCTGTTATTCTTGCTGTCATCGTTCATGTTCTCACTCCTTGCCATTAACAATATCTCATCCTGGTCGTTTCAAAACGAATACTGATGCTAATGACGACCAATGTTACAGGAGTCTTGTACGCGATACTGTCAGGGCCACAGCCAGAAAACATGTGTTAATGCCTACTCTCCGGAATCCTCATTTGTTGCGAGTCCGAACTCGCGAGCCTCTGTTTTTCAAAGCCAGCTTCCCCACCGGCAGTCTGCAACAATGATGGAACTTGAAGACCTACATAAACTTGCTGCTCTGGGGCATTCAATGCTGCAGGACGTATATCTGGGAATCAAGTTCCAGAACGGATACTCAGCGCGCAGCGAAAGTCCGCCGCTTTTTGCGCTGTCCCGGCTCTGCTTCAGAGGCCTCAGGCTCTCCTAGCAGCTTTCGCACCTCTGCAGGAAGAGTGCCCTTCTTCAGCATGGTTTTGACCTTAGCGTTACTGGCTCCGAAGGTCCTGCAAGCCCGCTGCAGTGGCTCCAAGCCCTTGAGCATTGCAGCTTCTGCGATCGCGCAAAAACTGTTGACGGCAATCATCTCCGACAGCATCCCCGCAAGCACTGACACTACACCGTTCACCTGCCAGCGATGGGCCAAGTCCAAGGCAACGAGCATTGTCTCGTAGTTCGGGTCTTCGCCAGTGGAGCTCGTGTATAGCAGATCAACGAACAACCGCACGCCAGAACCCGAGGAGTCTTTGACAGGAATCCGTTTGCTCAGGCCTTCTTTCATAGTGGAATCCAGCATAGCCCTCAGAACAGGTGAGGTTGTCACAAGAATGAAGTCGTGTGCCGACACCTCACCATCTGCTGTTTGAAAGACTACGTTGTGTGTGGAAGTCATCTCGCGTACGGCCTCCCACGTGTCGACGACACTCTGAGGAACTGAAATGTTGCTTTGCGCAATCTTTGCTGGGCCTTTGGTCAATTCTGTCACAAATCTTCGGAACACTTGGATTCTAGGGGAGAAGGCTTCTGCACGGTGTGAGCTTTGCAGTGCCCTCATCACAGCACACGCGAATGTAGTAGCACAATGCCCCGCGTACGGAATGCTGATTTTCGTACCCTCCATATCGCTCTCGAAACAAATGGAAAAGGATCCTGCTGCAGTAGACGGGTGCTTTTGGAGCGGATTCGCTCCTCCTTCGACCATCCAGTTGAGAATCTTGACCCGAGCTTCGCCCTCCCTGAAGTCCCGCCAGGTCGCCATCACCTCGACCAGCGGCAATTGCCTGAGTTAGTGTTCGTCTTGGTGTCGTATCAAGAAGTTCTAGCTGTCCTACCCCATCGAATCAGCAAATGATTCAAACATACCTACATGGCAAAGTACGGTCTGTGGGAAAATCGTGCAAACACGACACCAGAAACCCACATTCAAAAGCGACAGGGTCTTCAAATGACTAAAGTCTGCGGATTCAAGCCTCGCTTCGCAAAAAACCGTCCCGAATTACACCAAGATTCTGGGTTTTGCTCAGGTATTCAGACCAGTCATAGTCGGCTGGCGTCACGCGCTGCAAGGCTTCAAGATCAGCCAAATGTATCAAAGCTCGAATCACATCGGCCGTACATGCTGTAGCCATGAAGTTGTTGCGGCCACTGGGACGCAACTGCGACCAATAGCTGGCGGAGGCTTGTCACCAGCCAATGATTCGTAAACCCAGTAAGAAGACTATATTGCATAACAGAACTGTGAGAAGAATGAAACATGACAATGACCACAGTCGATATTTTGTGACGGTTGAGGGATGACACCGACCGTTTTGAGCCGCTGCTAGGATGTCAAACTTTCCCTGTCCACTGCTCAGCAACGAAGTTCACGTCCAGGAAATACGTTGCATCCTACTTAGTGTGTTCCAACTCCTGGTTGTCACAACTTACGTAGATCAGCATACTTTTGGCTTGGAGCCCTTCTCAATGTGCTGCTACAGTGCCGCCATATGAAGCTTTCCTGCGATGCATCGGCGACAAGATTCGGCTGGCTTGGCGAGCGAATAAGTGTTGTCCAAAGCGATGCCAGGATTCACAGTCTTAGGTGAGCAACCAAACCTCAAGCCTGCACATGTCGAAACCTCAAGCATCTGTACACTCCCTAGTGCAATGTTTTGCTAACTCTACATGTCAACGAGAAATGTTGTTGCGGGTTCTATAGAACTCCAAGCAGATTGCGTGACACACTGCGCTGTACTCGGGCTACGAGGACAATCGTGCCTGGTACAAGCTTCGGGTGTCTAGCTAAACCCGCAGTGCCTAAACCCAAAGCGATATAACAGTCACGGAACGGAAAAACTCGCCTGCGTGGGCGTTCCGAGCACGTGAAAGTCGTTGCGGTACAGCCTGGGCGTGGAACGGCATGATTTGTAAGGTTTTGGAAGTGTTGGACGGGATTTGGGGCTGATTTGCACCAAATGATTTGCAGCTTAAACGGCTGAGCATTTAAAGCGCGATTCAGGGCGCAAGGTCAAAGATGTCGGATGCAGAGTTGGCGAACAGTTCGAGCCGTCTGGGAAGACGCAGCGTTCAGGTGTAACACTAAGACTAGGAATCCAGAACTCACACGTAGAAATGTAGGCCCCAGTATTCTGTAATCAGTCTCTTCATCTTTAAAACCTGCACAACCCCTATATAGTGAGAGGTTATTGAACAACACATTAAAGCACCACCTTCTTCCAATTTTCCGCAGCCCGGCACAGATCAACTTGTGCTTGTAGTCTTGCCTGGTATTCACGTTGAGGCCTCTGGGGCTAGTATGCAAGCAGCCGAAAACACTGTGCTGGAAGCCTCAAAGTCATTAATAGGGCGGGTGAGCTCTTACAGGACCTATAGCTAAGGGTTTAGAGATGGTGTTGCATCAGAAACCTCCTGTACATGAACCATATAGAGTTATCCCCGATGCCAACTTTTCTCGAGCCTCGCAGTTGGGTCCAAGGTGCGGTTAGGGCCCATTCATGGTATACGAGACCGTGAACGAATGCCCCAGCTACTCTGAAGCCTCCTCCTCAACTAGGGCTAGGGCTGAAGGTTGTTTTAAACTCGAATCGCCTCAACCAGAACGCTTATCTCAGAGATGAAAACACAACAAATCAATATGCATGTATAGAGGTATATACACTCACTCACATAAGCCTTTTGATCCGGGTAATCCCCTTGAGACCAAAGTCCTTGAACACCAAATAGCCCAAAGCCCACTCTCGGCCTAGCATGTCATGCCCCGTCAGTCCCGTAAGTATAGGGGATACCATAAGTAGAAGAGGGTTTGGGGAGTATACTGAACCCTACACCCTAAACCCTTATTATGCTATCGATAGAATAAATAGCCCTGCACGGCCCTGGAAGTAAGATAGGTAAGTATTGAGGCATCTATACTCAGCACGTGCATCCGCCCGATCTCGGCCCGGAGCTTGATGCCCTTGAAAGGAGCTCCACGGCTAATCATGGCCTCATCAGGAATCTTTCTACTCATAGGCCCCCAAGTAGTTCCTTTTTTATGGTTTAAGTTTAGAATCCTATAAGGTAATCCCAAAAAGGAACTACTTGGGGGCCTATGGGTTTCTATGTTATGTTTACAAGTTAAGGCCGGCTTTGGTGTTTAGGGATGTCGCCTTCTCTCGGATTCAGGCTTTAGGATGTTGGGCTTCGTGAGTTCAGGGGCTTCAAGGGGTCTGGAGGCATCGATTGGGCTTCGGGCTGTCTACAACCCCTCGAGAATCGGGGCTCGGGCTAGGGCTAGGCTTCTACTCGCTGCCGACGTATCCAAAGCTTTGCAAACTCAACCCTCCACCCCACGTACTACACAGATCTCAAACCGCGGAGCCAGAGCCCTGCCTCACATAAACCGGCTATACCTGGACCCGAAAGAACTTAACTACATCTCTTAGGACTCATATAAGGAAACTACAATAAGGATCCCTAAACAAGGTAGGACCCTGAAGAACTTACATCTCTAAGGACTCATACCAGGAAACTATAACAAGGATCCCCCAAAAAAGGCAGGTCTTATAGAGTCCAAGCAACCCACAGACTGAGACCCCAAGCCGCCCCCATATCGGAAGCCATGAGCTTGAAATTTTGTGCCCTGAGCTCACCGGATTATACAAAGAAGCACGTATGGACCTTCTTTCCCGCACCTTTTGCGTAGGGATGCCAGTATGTATTAGTAACCTATGTCAGCATGCTTGAGCATGCGAAACGAGGGTCAGGAGACCCCGCGCCATGCCTCTTGTGTGCTGACTCCAAAACCCAAAACCATAAAACAACACTAAACCCTAAGATGCTCACCAGGCTGGAGCTCGGAGGCATGGAAAGTTCCGCTTGAGTCGAAGGTGACCGAATATAGGGGCCTTCTTAATTATCATGGAGGTTTGGGTTTACTATACTGCCAGAAGAGTGTCGGTAGTTATTCAGGCCTCTACAGTAGCTGAGATACCCTTAAATGGCCCTAAACAAAGGGCATCCACCTAGCATGTTCGGGTCTTTTGGTCATGACTTGCTTGTCCCGAGCTCCAGGCCGCGATAACACCAGAAGTATAGAACTCGCCTTTCTGATCCTCGAAGCAGAGGTTGAATGTCATTCGGTAGAAGCTGAGTATGGCTTGGATGATGAAGTGTGGCCAGGAAATATCACAATCCCGCTATACAGATCAGACTTGTGGCGTTTAGGTAGCTGTGAATATCATCACGGTTGTGATGGTGTCTGTGACTGCAAGCCGGGTCACCGTGATATTGACAATATTGAAACTAAATGCATGACGACGAGCATCGTGATTATGAGAGTGACATTGGCGATGATGGTGATGGTGACGGTGTTGACGAGGATGCTGATGTCAATGGCCTTGACAATGTTGATGGTGATGACAGAACTGGCGAAAGCAATGATTACGATAATGATGACGCGAGTAAAAGCTAAAAGTCATACTCTACACCTTTCGAGCAAGCACTTATCCTTCTGCTTGGCGCCATAGTACGCCTATAAGCCTTGGTTAGTTCCCCGTTCAGTCGGAAGTTACAGCAAACTCACACGTAAGCCCCTAAGCCATAGTCACCCTCATCAAGCCGATTCCCGACTCCTGGCCTATCAGCCCTAAACCCCAAAAGACAGTACACCCTGAAGCCGTGACTCCTGAGCCCTTCATCCTCAACCCTAAACGATCGAAAAGCCGAGAACTGAAAGCCAGTGCAGGCATTCTGCACCCCACGGCCCATGCAGAGTCCTGACTAAGCTGCGTCTCGCCTCGCTTGATCAACGCCTGGCAGTGACGAATATAACCAGCAAGCATCTAAATTGATCAGCCTCCCAGAATGCCACATACTCCCCTAACTTTGACTTCAGGGTGCCCCAACTCCCTAAACCCTAAACCCTAAACCTCAAGGCATCTTCCTCAGAAGTTGGACTCTGGAGTCTCCTGGAAAGGGAACTAAGAGGGCCTTGAAACCGGCGGCTTCTCTGACATTCAAAAACATGAGCGAGGGAGGAGACTGTCAGACCCTTATTTGGAGTATATTATACTAAAAACGTAACAACGAGCTCCCAAAAAGATAGTAATGGTAAGTCTTTATAGGCCCCTTTACTATGGCCACAGATCCAGTTCCAGGCATCCAGGGCTTGAAGGTCCATTCAGGGCTTAGGGTTGATATGGGTCTGGGAATCTAACATACTGGTATAGTCTCCATTGTAGTTCCTTTCTTAGGTTTAACCAACTCTATATTAAGGATCCTAAAAGGTAAAACCCCTAAAAGGAACGGTGGTATACTATAGGATTGTTATGATCGGAACCCCAAGGAATAACGGTTTAGGGTTTTAGGGATTAGGCTCGCAGGCCCGACAGTTACAACCCGCACCCCTAAACTGCAAACCCCATGAACGCCAAATCCGACACGCTAGGCGCTACTCCCCTAAACACGACTCCCCTAAGTCCCAAAACCATACTCTCCCTGGTTCTTAGTAGGGAATGTGGGAATGGATCCCTGTGATAGTCCCTTAAGGTCCCCTATAGTAGGTCCCAATAAGCCATTCCCCCATTCCCTACTACGAACCAGAGAGTACTGTAACAAAGGGAAGCTGCCTCACACTCTTTGGCCAGCTCCGCACCGTCTCGGAAGCAGTAGCAGCCTTCGAAGTCGGGGTTTGAGGAAAAAGCAGTCAATATCTTCAGCCATCAAAGACTCAGAGCTCTTGGGCTGAGGACATACCTTTGGATCCAACAACCTACAGTTTGGGGCCGCGCAGTTAAGGGGTTGTAGCCTAGCTAGTAGTTTTCCAGGGTTAGGGGATACAGTTAGAGTTAGAGACAAAGATCGGAGGCTTTGGGCTGTGATCCCTGAACCAATCAATCAAACCTCTCCAGAGACTGAGCTAAACCCTAAACCCTAAACCCGAAACCCGAAAACCGAAAGCCTAAACGGGGCCCAAACCCTGAATCCAAATGCTGTGAAGCCCCGAGGCCCGTTTGATTCCTGAGTTCAGCCTCAAGGCCCTGTATCCCAGTACCCCAACACCCCCTAAAAACCCCTTGGGCTTCGAAAGGCGGCCAAGATGGCAGACAGGAAGTCGGTTTAGGGTCTATAGAGTCTGGGGTTTTAGGGCTTAGGGTTTTGGGGTTTTGGGGTTCATGGCTCTTGACTGTCGGATTCGTATTCAGGGTCTCAGGGTTTACGTTTAAGGAAGTCCGGAGACTCAAACAGATCCCATGACAATTATGGAGTATATGCTTTGGCCTTAACGTCGTCGCTGTATAGGTACTTTAGGACTTTAGAGCCAAACTAGGAATTCTTTGGGTACATGGACCCTTGTAGTATCCGTCGTAGTCGTAGTAAGGAGCCCTTAAGGGAATCCCTAAAAGGGCAGCTCCTAGTTGCCGTGTCTGCTGCTCTTTAAAGGGGAAGCTTAGGGTTTAAGGTTTAGGGTTTAGGGGTTTGGGGGTTTACGGTTTAGGGTTTAAGGTTTAGGGGTTTTGGGGTCTAAGGTTTATGGTTTAAGGATTGGGGTTTGGGGGTTTTGGGGTTTGGGGAAGTCGGTGAATGTAATGTACTTTTGTGCATCAGGGGTTTGAGTATGAGAATTGCGGGATTTACAGTTTGATTACAGTTTGGGGGGTGCAATAGTTGAGGTTTTACCGCATACGTGGCTTCTCGGGCACCTGAAGTTTTAGTTTTCAGAAGATGGGGTAGGAAGCCTATGGTCTTTTGTCTTCAGTCTGAAGCTGGGGCGAAATGAGGATTCAAGGCTTTGGTGGTTTGCAGTTTAAGGTTCAAGCCTTGAAAATGCACACGGTCTGCTTCGGGGCCTGTGTTGGCCCAGTCACTGATTTTCACTTTCTCCTGGCAGGTGTTCGCACACTGCACAAGCAACCACGAAATGCGGAAAGTGTCTGCGACAGCGGCGCAAGCGGTTATTTAGAATTTAGATGGCCACTTCAATGAGGGGTCAGGGCTCAAAGTCTGCAATCTGGTCCTTCGGAGTTCAAAACCCGCAGCCAGGTTCTGGCCTTCACTTCTTTGATGTTGTCTGCATCATCCATGGTGATATAACCTGGTCCGATTGGCGCACAACTCTTCACACATGCGAACGCAACTACAGATCATACGTAGGCAGACAAACAAGAAACATTCAGGCAAACAACAAAAACACTGTGTTACGCCTGCCTACAGTTGAACCCCAAAGCCTCTGCAATGAGAGCTCAGGTTCGAAACTTCATTGAGCAAAAGACGAATACCAGCTTAAGCTTCCAGCGACTGCTTCCTTGTACTTCAGTTCTGAACTCCTGAGGAGACCTAGGAAAAGCCAGACTTTCCAAACGCCTCGCGTCGCATTAAATCAAAAACTCTAAAAATCCACCAAGAACATGACTTCGGGAGAGTCCGACTCCATCAGACTAAGACTACTTGCAATGCGCTTGTGGCACTCGGAGGTAGCCGGCAAAGTTTGAATCAATAAGCCGGCAAACTGAAAGCCTTGCGGCCGGGAAGCTGTAGATGGGCTTCGGCTGGGTGTCATGAAAGCAGAAAACGGCGTTATGCGTCGCGGCCTTTCTGCGGCTGCAGGTCCAAGTTTCAAAGCAGAGTGACTGGGAGACCAATAAAGTGCCCAGACAATTTAGGAACATGAGAACCCTAGGTTGCTTGAGGCACGAGACTACACGATGTATGAGTCTCTCTTCCCAGTTTTGCATCAAGCGCAAACAACTTTCCAAAAACACACACGAAGACGACTGAGGCCGACAAGCCCTAAGGCCCACTGAGAACCCTGCGCCCTATTACATATCACGTCAAAGTATGGTATAAGCTAGAAAAATGTAGTAAAGTATGATTATGCTCTAAGGTGTTATGTTATATCATTGTCATAGTATGGTATAGTATAGCATAGTGTAGTACAATATGTGCTAATGTTTTATATTATATCATATCAGAACTGAGCTTACCTCTAAACCCACAAGTGCTACATCCGCAGAGGCTGAGTCACTTGCAGCCTAGCCACGATCTTTCGAAACTGGCCGACGACGTCCGAGGTGTAGAATGTATCTCCATCCTTTGTAAAGGACTTTATAGGGCTTTCGGGTTTGCAGGGTGGGGCTGAAAAGCGAGAGGCTTCGCGGGCGTTGGTGGTGAGTCTTACTTGCAATTATCGGCAAAGAGTGGCTGCAAACCTTTGCCTTTTGCTACGACACGCTACGATACTAGAAAAGGATATTTCCACGGGCGTTCTGCTCTCGAGAAAAGCACTCTGGGGGACTAAATGCTATCTAAACTTAAACCACTGAATCCCAAAAGCTGTAGCATCTACGCTACTCTACTTCAGCACTTTGAACACTAAGCGCCTCAAGACGAATGCCCTCAACCCTACAAGGCTTGCAACATACATCCCGAACCTCCAGCCCCTCGACCTTCAACAGCTTCTACATCCTCAAAAGCTCATGCCTCCCACCCGGAACCCTCCGCCTCAAAACCCGGGAAGTCAAAACACTAGGAATCCAAATGGGCTGGGCGTCTGCCAGCAAAGTAGGTCGTGTTCGAAGCTCCTGCTCTTGTCTTGGAGGGCTATGCTCATTAAGAGTTCTGCGGGGTTTTGAGCAGTCAGGTACCGGAGGGGAAGATTAGAAGGTCTTAGAAAATTTGTGCAGTTGTCAGGGAAGTTCATGGCTTTGTAATCATTCTTGAGCCGTGCCAGTGGCAGCGGAGAAGTCTCATTGTAGTTCAAACATGCTCTGCCATCGCTATGGTACTAACTCCAATGTCCCTGCGCCCACTGCTGCTGCCACCATCAAGACCACAATGACGAAGACGATTACGAACTCGACAACTACAACGACAGCCCGCAAAGAAATATGCACAATTCTACAATTCGGGATTTCAAGTTCAAGTCAGGATTTCGGGTCCACAGATTTCGGACTGAGGCAGACCTCCATCTACTTTGCATGCCTAGTGGCGTTGCGGGGCCAGTTGGCCGGAATTTACGTTCCGTGCGACTCCTCGGTTCTGACAACCTTAGACCCTAAACCTTACCTTAGCCCCAAATAGCCTACCTCGTTTCATTACTTACATGAGGAAATCGTAACAGGCCCCCCTGCAAGTGCAGGCTTTCCATCGTCCAAATATACCTTAAACAGAAAGCAGTTCGCACGACTGGATGACTGGACAGTAAGAAATCACCCGCATAGTACCCTTACTAGAGTGCCCATTAAATGCTTTTAAGTTTAAGACAGTAATCCCTACAAAAAATACAATAGAATCTCGACCGCCATGCATCAATACCCTGATCATCCCGACACGGTTTTGTCCTGCGGCAACGCTTGAAGCCCGATCAGCACCTGACTGTATATGCGCGCGGGTGTGTGTTTGTATGTCCCCACATAATTAAGCAAGTAGGTAGGTAAGTAAGTAAGTAAATAAATAAATGTATATATATATACATACATACATACATACATGCATGCATACATACATACATACATACATACATACATACACACATACATACATACATACATACATACATACATACATATTTTTGTATACTGGTATATTCAATGAATCTGTGTGTCTGCTCGTGAGAGCATTCAGCCGCCTCAAAGCCATGTAGTGCTTGCAACATGTAATGAACATGTGCGCCTGCATCTTCGGTTTGCTGGCATTCAACTTGCAGCGCGACGCGACTCATCTACAGCTATCGAACAGGCTGAATAGCCCCAAGGGTCCATGCTCTCGAATGATAGATACTTTGGCCTTAATGTAGTCTCTATATACGTACTTCAAGGCCAAAGTATACACAAAAGCTTCATGGCTTCATAGCTTCATATATTAGTACATGGGTTTTTAGGGCCTTAGGGTAGCACACTTGCAACCCCTCGGTCCTCAAGATTCGTAAGCATCGGGCTGGTGTCTGTCTACTGTAGGGGCCTCAATAATCAGAATAGGGTTTTGGGGTATACTAGACTATAACTATAACGAGGGACCCCCCCCCAAAAAAAAAAATAGTGTAGACTAGCTTTCGGGCAGTTCTGTAAATAAGGGTCTCGATTTAGGTCCCCCAAAATAATCCGGCACACTTATCAAAAGGACCCCCAAAAGGGACCTAAATTTAGAGAACTAGCCTTTCGCAGACGTTCCTTCAGAAGCTTGACATCAACTCCCAAGATGAGGCTAGGTTGCAAGTTCCCTAAGGGTCCATGTACCCAAATAGTATATACTTTGGCCCCAAAGTACCCAAATAGGGACTACTTTAAGGCCAAAGTATATATTATTTGGGTACATGGACCCTTAGGGTGTTACAAGCTTCAGCACTCCGGCGTTAGGATCCAATGCATTCCGGGACGGGCCGATATTCTCTCAACAGCTACGTGGCTGTGTGACTGAAGACTTATGGAAAGCAGGTTCTGCGTAAGGTATTTGCAGCCGATTCCGTCAGGACAGTATGTACAATCATACTTCTAGACATCCAGAACCCATGTCGCAATTTCGACAAAACTACTGCCGGCTTGCAGGGAAGGCACCGTCTCTGCAGCACCGCGGGTAGGACCGGGCAACTCCACCAGCCTACCAGCGTAACCAGTTGGCCGAAACCCCACGGAGTATAGGTTCCGGGTTCAGGAGTTTAGGGTTTGGGGGTTACGGTTTATAGGGTTCGGGGTTCAGGAGTTTAGGGTTTGGGGGTTATAAGGGTTCAGGTTTTAGGGTTCGGGGGCTTAGGAATTTATGCTCTATGCCTGCCCTAGACGTTCCAAGCCCGTTTGCTGGCGAACCTGTAGCCCGACACTCAGCTAACGATCACAAAGGCTTGTTTTAACAAACACGTCTTAAGCCATGATTTGAGCAGAAGACTCATCACACAGCCCATATCCCTTACTTCTGGCGTGGTCTTAACAGCAGAGAAGGCTCTAGGCTTAGTGTTTAAGCTTTTCATTTTCGCTTTTCAGTTATGTTCTTATGATTGCAAAACCCAATTGATGAAGAGCTTGTACCATCCCCTGAGCCCCACAGCAGGAAAGCATTTGTAGAACATCGGAAACAAAACCCAAAACCCAAAACCCCAGAACCCTAAGCCCCAACACAACCTCCCAAGAAAGACCCGGATGCAGCGACTCAGATACAAAGCCGCACCGGTGCCTAATTACCTTGGGAATGCGCGAAGGAGGAACAGAGACACCCCTTATAGGAGAGAAAACACAAAACTATACAGGCGCGGTTCCAGCGGATCAAAACATAGGTTCAACGATGCTGGGCTTGTGTCTCGAAGAAGCATAAACATCGCAAAACAGCCACAAGCCTAAACCCGAACACACAGCAGGGATGGGCCCGGAGGAGCCTGATCCGGGAATCCTTGTCCGCAAGTATCTCTTGCCTGAGACTGGGACAGCACCCTCCACCCAACAGTGTCTTTGATAAGGAGAACTCTAAACAACAGCTACGATTCGGAGAGATTCTTGCAGGCTTGCTCGAACTAGCCGGGGCTCGAACGATTCCGCGATCACCGTTTGCTGTACTTGGGGTTCTCAGATGCAGTCAGTCTACCGTGCTAGCGCATGCTTTACATGGCCTGGGACAGAACTGTTGCTATTTACACTTACCGTACTAGCTACGTTCGCTTAGGTTTTTCCGTGCCTGCAATATGCTATGGCGGTTTGTCAACAAGCCGCCATAGCAAGCACATTGATTTAGAGCATCACGATCACATTGCCAACAATGAACCGAACTCCAAAGCGCGAGCTCCGAACATCCATGACCCGCAACACCAGCCGGACTCTGAACGCATGAAACCCTTAACCCTAATACTAACACTTCATCCCTGAATATCCCTAAACAACAGTAAACCCCTATATTACCTATATAAATCCCCAAAATTCCTAAGCCCTCCCTCCAGCCGGAGTGCATGAAGTTCTTCATGCTCATCCAGCTGGGGTTGAAGATGATAATGAGCGAGTCGTCTGCTTGCAGCGACAAGTTGTCCACCACCCAGCTGATCATCGGCTTGCCTAGTGTCGATTCGAAGCGAAGGGCACGGAGTTTGAGCTTTCGGGTTTTGGGCTTCACAGTGTATCTTCCAGCCACTCAGGCTTCGGGTAAGGATTCTAACACCGCCTGCTTCGGGCAAAGCCAGCCAGGAGTCTCTCAGATCTCATCACCGACACGAATTTCCGGTGGGGACTTATACAGGTGTGATGAACGTGCGCTAGGCTGTTTAGGAATTATAACCACGGTGGCAAATCTTCTAGGAGACGTTCACCGACCTGCAGCTGGTTTGAGAAATACCGAACAAGGAAGCTAGGCAAACCAAACGTTAACCCCAAAAAACAAACCTCAGCGCGCACACCCACACCGAAGGAAATTCTGTGTTAAAATAAGTGTAAAAAACAGCAAGTCTGCTATGGATTTTAAAGAAAAATCCAGACTGCCAGCTCGAAGACCGAGCAAAAGCTTGCCGACATGTAAAAGCCTATAGAGCTTTGCGTGGAACATCATTCCCTTAAGGGTCCATGTGCCCATGTAGCACTTAGTTGCTGAGTTCATAAGCCCCCAAAAAGTGTACACTGTACACCTTCAGTTCTATAAGGGATCATTACCTCTCCATGTAAAGCACTTCGAAGTGTGATCAAATCCTCAAAGCCTCGATCGAGAAAGTGGCCCTAAACCCTAAGCCTTAAACCCTAAACCCCTAAACTCTAAACCCTAAACCGAAGCTGGTCATTTCAAGTCGCCGAGGACCGGGATGAACGGCTTCGGGCGCGTCAGGTAGCCTGGGCTCAAGAAGTCAGTAAACCCTACCCATATAGGCTCCATAGTAGTTCCTTTTTGTGATTCATATTTAGGATCCTATAAGGTAATCCCAAAAAGGAACTCCTAAGCAGCCTATGGGTAAACCCTAAACCCTAACCCTCCTTGTGCCTACTATATGGGGCCCTAGGGGCTCTAGCTATAGTAGTGGAAGGTTAGGGTAAACCCTAAACCCAGCTCACTTCTCCGAGGGCTTGGACTTGCGGATGAGGGTTTACCGGGTTGCCAGCTCAGGGTTTGGTCCGCGAGAGTTCAGAGAGAGAGAGAGAGAGAGAGAGAGAGAGAGAGGGAGAGAGAAAGAGAAGGGGAGAGAGAGCGAGAGAGAGACAGAGAGAGAGAGAGAGAGATATATATATATATGTGTAGATAGGGCGCAGGCACAGTTTTCTCGAATGGGCTACTTAATGAGGACGGATGTACACGGGATGCACAGTCGCAGAGTCTTTTTTTGGGTCATTCGTGATGGCCTCTGCTTTGGAAAACTCAAGAGAACCTTCTGCGCTTGGAAGTGGTTGCCGCGGTCCTTTCTGCCTCAGACATACCCATCAGCTTCGCAACAGCCGGTGGAAAACTGTTCTTCTGAAGCATGGACTGAACATCGGCATTCTTCGAGCCGAAGGTGACGCAGGCTTTCTTTAGGGGTTCGATGCTTTTGAGAGTGGCGGATTCCGCAATCTCCCCAAAGCTGCCTTCATTGATCTCCTGCTGCAAAGAGTTCGTGAGCATGTCAACGATGTGTTGCACTTGCCAGCGATGTGCCAGATCCAATGCAACGAGCATGGTCTTGTAATCGAGATCCGCGATGGCTGATGAACTTGTGTAGAGCAGATCGAGGAACAAGGAAATTCCACGGCTCGACGAGTCTTTGATATCAATACGCCGGCACGAGCCCTCCTTCATGCTGGTTTCGAGCATGGCCTTCAAAACCGGCGAAGATATCATGAGTACTTGGTCATGGGCCGACACGTCCCCTTCTGATGATTCGAAGATCACATTGTGTGTGGAGGTCATTTCTCTAAAGGACTCCCACATGCGAGCAACTTCCTGATGCACGACTATGCTCTGGCACTTCCCAACCGTCGTAGTCTTAATGAGCGACAGGATACTTTCCAGATAGCTGCAGGTGAGAGACCAGTCGCCGCCTCCCTTTCCTTTCCGAAGTTCTCCTAATAAAGCCATGATATACGAGAGGGTCGACTGGCCCTGACAGCAGACTGAAACCGTTGTCTTCTCTTTACGTGGCTCAGGAAAAAAGAAATCACGTGTCGTTTTGGAAGATGTACACCGTAACGGATCGGCACCAAGCTGCAATAAACATTCAATAGTCCTAAGTCTCTGCTCACGCTCAGCAGGACGATAACAGATCTCCGGAATTTTGTGGTCCACTGCGAAGAACAACGGCGGATGCTTCTCGCAGAGCTCTTGATTCCAATCAAAACCGGGCGGCGCCCATTGTCGCAGGCCTTTGGGATCAGATAGTTCAATAAAACCTTGCACGACGCGAGCGGCAGCGGCAGCCATCTTCAACTTCTTCAACTGGATGTCTTCGCAGGATACGGTTGTGTGTGTGTGTCTAAGTCAGAGAGGACTATACACCTCATGAGATTTACAGCGCAGCTGTGGGCTTAAGCTTCAAAAGTGAGGACAATGAACTCGAGCCGGCAGGCCTACAGCATCGTCTGTGGGGATTCGGGTGTGCCAGCTATCAAAGTGCATCATCCATCGAGTTCAAGTGGGCTGAGAGAATTAGCAGGTGCCTCAAATCAACTTAGACAACAACCCCCGGCAGCCTCGCACCAAAACACATAAGGAACCCCTCCGAATTGTGCAGCCTGCGCAGTTTGATTCAAACCGCTAGGACTTACTTTTTCCGGCCTTAAGCCTCGACCAGGATGCGTACAGATGCACACACATGCATGCATGCGATTGTGTTTGTACACATATATATATATATACACAGATACACACACACACACACCCCTGTGTAAACGTGCTTCTGCCTATACATCCACACAAATCAAACATTCGTGAGCGTGTGTCCTGATTGTTTTCCTGATACAAGACTCGTGTCGAGAATCTTAACGCAGGGTAGTTGGGTATCAGCAGCAGGCATATGCATTGAGTACGTATGTCCAACCTACAATGCAATACAGTGTAAGCTAAAAACTGCTGTAGACAGGTAGACACACAGACAGATAGATAGGTAGAAGGCAGGTTAAGTTGGCAAACAAGCAGGCAGGCAAGGCAGGCAGGACGGTAGGTAGGTCGGCAGGTAGGTAGGCAGGTAGGCAGGGAAGTAGGTAGATATCATAAACGTATCGGCAGATACATGAACACATACATGGAAAACGCATAGATACACACACTTACATTTGTAGGTGGGAAGACAGATAGCTGGAGACAGACAGATGATAAAATCTTCCAAGCATAAACTACACTTCCCCTGGCTAGGTTAATAGCTCGACAACATGTAAGCTGAGCGGCCTTCTGTTTGGAAGCGGCTACCCACTCCGCCGAGGGGAATAACGACGTTCCTGGGCTCGAAGAGTGGTCGTCTAACTGAACCAGGCGGAAAGCTCGAGATATAATCCAAGTTCTTGCGGCATCAGGGTCACTGCAAAGCTCCATCTGAGTACAAGTACCTGCTCATTGGCCAGACCGGACACGACCGAGTATGATGGCTGGAGGTCAACGAAAATCGAGCACCTAACAAAAATCGAGCACCATGCAAACATAAACAGTTTATACAACCCCGACCTCTGAAATTTAGGCACTGGTGCACACAGCCATCAGGACTCACGACGCGACATGGCAACGAGACTTTCCTTGAACCCACCAATGTCGAAAATCTAAACTCCAAGCCGGGGTAACTCTCAAGAAGTTGGAGCCCTCTGTTGCCGTAACTTCAACAACCTCAGAGCTCAGAACCCAACACCTCTAATATAGGGGCCTTAACCATTAGAATAGGGTCTTGGGGCCCATTATACTATAATTATATTTAATATGGAACCCCCCAAAATAGTATTGGTAATTGTTTAGGCCCCGCCTATATTCATGTCAGGCTCAGCAGCAACCCGGGAAGACCAAAAGTTCAAGATAGCAGCCCCGATCCGCTTGTCTGACAGGGCTCATGCTGCAAAGCGTATACGCGGGTCGGACAGAGGTGATTGGCCCGAGATCGGACTTCAGAATCTGCTATATAAGCTTTCAGCTCCAAACCCAGGACGACTGCTCGAAGCGATGCAGAGAAGTCAGAAAGATGTATGCCTGCGAACAAGAAGACCATTCATCTTGCGTGATGGCATTTAAATTTTACTTCATCTCCGTTGTGAAAGCGCTGACAAGCCAGTTGCGCAGCGGGGCATCTTGTCGCAGTGTGATAACCCAAACAGGCTTTATCGTAGAAGCCTGAACAATTAACAGTTGTTCAGGACCAATACCATTCCCTCTAAGGTAACTTATAGATTTATACTATACTCTACCCCACAATCCTGGTCCCATAATTGAAGGCTACCATATTACGTGCCTCTCATTGTTCCCCGAAGCCCTGACGGCTTGACGTTCCAGGAAGTCGGATCTAGAACTTTCACCTGATTCCGGTCTCGACCGCTTCCGAAGATGTGGGAGCTGAATACCAGGGCCCTAGGTCTAGGACTTCTAGGATTTAGGCTGAAACCCCCAAGAACTATCGCACCACGTCAAGTACTGTAGCACTGTCAATAACCGCATGAGAGTAAGACCAACAAATGTTATTTTCAATGCGTGACACAACAGCTGCACAACAAGAAACTCAAGCACAACTCGCCAGAATGCCTAGGCACTTGAACCTAAGCAAGCCTAATTCAGAGCTTCGGATGTCGGAAGAACCGAACAGTCGTTTGCAAACCTTCAGAGGGGGTTTAGAACTTTCGCACAGTTCTCCGGAACTAAACTAAGGAGTCTGGAACTTTTTTCGCATGCTTGACAACATCATAAAACCCAAGACATACAGGACCAATACCCCTAAACCCTAAACCCTAAAACCCTAAACCCCACAACCCCAAAACCCTAAACCCCTAAACCCCGAACCCCTAAGCTTAGTGTCTCGAGTGATTTCTTGAAGAAGTACCTGACTGTGCCGAAGGGCCTAAGATGGCTAGCGACCCCCGAAGGCCCTCCTCGATGAAAAACCCTTTCCATTAGACTCAGGGTCTTCGGCTTTAGGGCTTTAGGGTTTTAGGGTTTAGGGCTTTCGGGCTTTAGGGTTTTAGAGTTTAGGGTTGTAGGGCTTTAGGGTTTTAGAGTTTAGGGCTTTCGGGCTTTAGGGTTGTAGGGCTTTAGGGTTTTGGGGTTTAGGGCTTTCGGGTTTTAGGGTTGTAGGGCCTTAGGGTTTTGGGGTTTAGGGTCTTAGGGATATGTCGACGTGGTTTCTGCCTGTTCTGACAAATGGGGACTGTCTTCATAATGTAGGGGCCTTCATAATCAGAATAGGGTTTTGGGGTATATTGTACTGTAATTAATTATAAGGACCCCCCCCCCCCAAAAAAAAATAAAATAAAAAATAGTATAGGTAGTTATTAAGGCCCCTACGTTTGTCTCCTCGGGCGCCCTCTTCCAATTTTGATGCAAAGCCCCTTCAGGTCCAGCGTTTGATAGGACTGGTTGCTTTGTCCCATCAAAAGTCATACTGGTAACAGTAATCTGGTCCCGTTTCTTTCCTTCAACACGGAAACCAACATAATAGAAAAGGGCATATGAGGGTACTACTGAAGAACCGACTGCCAGACCCTAAACCCTTAACCCTGCAGGGTTGCCAAGTTTGCGGCTGTGCATTTTGAGGCTCTAGGAGGTGTAGTAGGGTCTACCGGTTTAGTTCCCTTCTTGGATAACCAGCGTTTATGGATAGGATATGCTAGGATCCTATCATATAGGGTCAAAGAGGAACTACAATGGAGAGTATAGCTCTATTACAGCACAGCATTCACCGCAGCGCCGTCACATGTGTTCGAGCCCCAGGCCTCCTGAACTGTCAGTTCAAAGAACCCTCAACTAAGCGACGAAAGCCTGACATCACCAAACCGAAGATTCTGTTCTGGGCCGGCCTCAATTTCACACGGATGCTGACAAAGCAGAACCCAAACTTCTAGAGTGAGTTCCTACACCCTGCGAGTGAGTAAGAACCCGACAACCTTTTTTAAGTGAACCCTGAAACCCCCAGACACCACCGAAACACCGAAAAGCCTTCCTCCAAACCGAGCTCCGCGCCCCAGACCAGCGGCGACACGAGGCCTGATTTCACGGTTTAGGGTTTAGGGATATGAGGAGCTGTACCGCAACAAGAAGCTACAAGCGTGGCTAACCGTAGATAACTCAATTTTACCCTCCCAACAGTAGGCAACCATAACTGATAGTATTCAGCCATCTCTGTGCTACCGTTTACCTTGCAAGAGCACCATCATTCAGGCTAGCATCGCACTCTGGTCCTTGATAGCAGGCTGACTCGGACTTGCAAGTAGCATCTGATGTAACTACCTTGCTTCTCTCTCCACTAAGCCTAAACCCTAAACCCTAAACCCTAAGACTTCGAGTAGATGGCCCTGACCGGCAGCAGCATGGAAGTGCAATCTGTAAACCGTTGTACACCTCGGGAGCCTCGGGCTGTCTTTAGAGCTTTTTTTTTTTTGTTTGGGGGGGGTGGGGTTTTGGGTTTAGAGCCCCAGCAGCCAATCAACATACAAACTTCTAGACACCCAACTCCCGATCCCAGCGCACGAATGCGCCGCCACGCACCCTAGCTTGGTGGTCTTGCATTTCAGGCCCATGCGATTGCGACTGCAACTTCTGAATCCTTCTACAAATGCAATCGATCGAGGTCCCATGCGCCAGAAAACCAGGGTGCATCAGTATCCACGGTTTTTGCAAAGCAGTTAGCGAGATTTAGGCAGGCACGAGTACCCGTAATGAATCGCTTTTGCCCTCGAGCTTCCATCTGCGCACCTTCTACCTGGGAGGCAGCCGGTGATCCCGC